GCTCTGCGTAATGCATCACATGAATCAGTTTTTTAATCTATTAACTTATTACACATTTGTGCTCTGCTTTAGCATCACTTGACTATTTAAAAAAATTGTTTGTTCAGGCCATGACCTTATAGTCAGCCAATTGGCCATTGCTGAAATTGAATGTAATTTATTCAATATTTTATACATGTTTGTGTTATCGGCCCACTCTAATCGTGGATGAGGCCATGTTTTTGTTATCAGTCTACACTAAGCGTGTATGAGGGCATGTTGTGTTATCGGCCCACACTAAGCGTGAATGAGGCCAGCTTTGCCCTTACATTATTAACAAATAGCCAGGTTTCATTGTCTCTACCATTATAGTGGTCCCTTAGACTGTAGAATGCAAGCAATACAATAACAAAATACGTGTTTTTAAAATGTATCCATATAATATTATGAACCCTTTGACAAATATACTACTACACACACATTTAAAATTCTATTTCATTCAATCACTCATCACTCTGTTAGTTAGTTTAAATCTAATATGGAACAACCACGTGCACGGGGCAAGAAGAGGACTGTTCTTCGCAGAATGAGGAGGGTTAGACCAATAGGTATTATTCACACAGTAGCAGTGGCGTAACGAAAGGCCCTGCTGACCCCGCTGTGCAGGGGGGCGCCGTCTTAGGGGGGCGCCAAATCGTCGTTTGAATGTGGGACAATTTCGAAAACTTAACTAAAGTACCAGCAAAACTGCGCGTTTTGCTCTAGATACACACTTTTTTAGAGATTTTACCGGCGTATTCTTTAAAATCACCTAATTTGTTCAATTTTAGGGAGGGGCACCAAAAGGGGAGGGGGCGCCAACAGGGGGGGCGCTTTTTTCGGCAGGGGGGCGCCAACAGGCAACGTTACGCCACTGCACAGTAGACACTTAAAATTATTTAATCTTGGTTCATGACGGTAAGATAATATACCAACATAGATGCACTACTGTTTGCCTATTTGTTTGGTCAAAAAGTATGTGGCCAAAAAGTTAATATTGGTCACGTCATTTAAATACATAATAGGGGACCACAACAATAATTGAACCTAGGGTACATACACAGTATGGAGAGAGATTGTTTCAGAAAGTTTGCCCTAAATTATGGAACGAGCTGCCTCTTGAAATTAAGTACTGCATATCATGTTGTTGGACTTTTTAAAAGTGTATCTGAAAAAGTTTCTTTTCAAGCGTGGTTATGATATTACTGAATAGTTTCTTATGCTACTACCTCTTTTAATCTATGAATTTTAAAATGTTTCAACTGAAAAGTGCATACCCTTTATCTTTTTATTTAGTGCATCAAGTCTTTAAATTTTGTGTATGGCTTAGAATCTAATTGTGGATTGCTTTTACAGGTTTTCTTGTGTCCTGAAGTGTTTTCGTGGCACATCTGTGCATTTTAAGTTGTTGCAATATGAAAGTTGAAATAATTATTTTTATTATTATAATTTTTCCTACAAAGTCAACGAATTGAAACACACGAAGGAACAGCTTTATTTATATGTATTTTTTAATTTATTGGTTAAGCTGATGGGCAAGTCTTGCTTTTATATTACAGCTACTGGTAGATTATTGTCTTCATAAATGATAAAGCCTTAATAACGACATATGCTAACATTATAATATGTAAAGATACCATTTCATCACGTTAACTGTGATAAAAGGGATTATCATCATGATGTAACGTCAAGTTTTTCGATTTAATTGTGCAATAACGGTACAACATGACAATAATCGTCTCGCAATGTGATTAACTCGTAATAATTGTTCCATGATTAAAATCTGCAATATTTTCTACCATGTCATCAACGGTCTTAAAAACAAATATTTTATGAGTACACCCGGAGTATGATAAAAATGAGTTGTCCGCCAGCGTTTGACAAAAACCTGTGAGTGAATTTGTTTTTAAAATTAATCTTCCCTTGATGGCATGAAGTTGTTAAAAGGTAATTTTGTCCATTTATCAAACTTGTGTATTTAATTTTAAATGGGTTTTAAAAATTTACTCAGATGTCAAATTTTTATCATTTTAATTTAAATTTGAACAAACAATAATTGTCCATATGTTGCACTTGATCAAATATCTCTTGGACTTCACTAGCCCAATTACTAATGTACCAGATTTTGCAATTTAAAAGCGTTAAGATATATTCATATCCTATGCAAATAATCATAGCACCTTTGGCTTCGTTTGTTCCACTATGCAGAACCTTTTTATGTCATTTTAATGATTCCCATTTATTTTAACTCTATCCATGCCCAAAATTAAATGGCTAACATTTACGGATGGTTTGGTGAATAATTTCCAGATCGCATTAAAAGATAATGGCTGAGTTGTTTCGAATTTTAGTGTCGACTAAATCATTTAGTTGCTTTTAAATTCAACAATCGATACATGTTCAGTGTTCATTGTTCAATGACAAGTACAGCAGTAACTCTATTTGAAACTCCACTTTCATTAGGTTTCACCTAACCTTGTATTAAAAAGGAAAAGTTGTCTTCATTATCATTATTAACAACAATATCTGCAGACTATACCATGGCTGAAACTAAGTATAAAGCAGTTGTAAGCATGATAGAGGAGGAAACCAAGACGACGTTTGTTCTTTTGGATGAAAGTATCCTTAAAGATGGTGCCACCGTTGATAAAATTGACAAAGATTATGTATTTTCCTTGAAGCATCTTCTCTTGCCAAAAAAGATGTATGGTGATGCACAAAAAATTCTTCAGAAGCTAGGAAACATTAAAAACGATTGGAGCTTTGGAGACACTTATCAGGGTGATATGATATTCTCCACAGTCATGCAACCTGAAATGAAGAAATGTATTGCTGCACTAAAGAAAGAGGAATTCTGTAAAGCTCTAACATCTCTGATCAGCATGTTTTTTGTCTTCCGAAACGATGAAGGATGGATTCGAGATAACGAAAGTTGGTCGGAAAAATCATTTCCAAAGCTGTTTAAGGAATACAGTCTTTGTTGGAAAATTATGATTAGCAGTCCTGATGGTGAGACTGAGCTGATCTACAAAGGTGGACTGCCTGATGGTTACAAAGACAAACTGCTTCCACTACTTCAAGAACAGCAAGACGAGGTGATGATTACTCTAGAAGACATACACGATTGTTTTGATGAAGATCAGATTGACATGCGTCCAACTTTAGACATTCTCCCATTACCAGATGTACCTCTGACCCTCAACAACCTGCCAGGTCGTAAACCACAAAATGCTTCTACTACAAAGAGCAAGGCGAAGTCACAAAGACCCAAACCAAAGACAAAGAAACCACAAAAACCCTCACACTTTTGGTTTTCTAAAGATGATTCTGAAGCGCACAAACAAAAAATCATGAACAGTTATATGGCACAATGGCAAGAAGATGTTAAAAAGTGGGAGAAGGAGAACGAAGAATACCTGAAGCCCAAAACTAAAACTAAAACCAAAAAAATTACTGAAAAGGGAACTTCCAAGAACACAAACGTAAAAAAACCAAAACCTGCTTCAACAAAACAAAACGAAAATGTACCTACTAATATCATCGCTAATAAAGGGACTGCAAAGAGAAAAGCTCAAAAGGAACATGTGGTATCTGCTAAAAAATCTAAACCTTCAAAGAAAGATGCAGAGGAACCTACCCCTAATGTCAGCAATATAAATGAGGGAAAAACAGAGATAGTTGTCGACAAGGCCAGTACTGTAACAAGATCTGGTCGAAAGTGTAACCCAGTCCTTAGATTCTGACTTGTTATAATTTATTGAATTATTCAAATGTTATTATCTTAGTTGCAGCTATGTAGTATATATTATATATATATATATATAATATAATATATATTTAACCATAATGTATATTTTATTAACTGACACGTCATGATAGTTTTACTATCCCTATATAATATATATTGTGTATGAAGTATTTTGTTATCAAAGGAGCTCATAACCTTATTTTAACTAATTTATGTACTGCAAATCTATTGAATTACAATTTGTTTTCAACTTTTGTTCACTTAGACAGTTTATTTTGCTGTACTAACATCATCTCAATGTTGCATTGCAGTGAATTTCTTTTGGGGCAGGAACCGATAGAGCCCAATGTCATGACAATTTTACGACAAGATGTGACAATATGTGCCAATATAATAAATGACAATACACGACAATATTTGACATTATATGACAATTTACGACAATATACGACAATATAATATAATTATGACAATACATGACAAGATGTGACAAGAATCGACAATAAACGACAAGATTTGACAATATACGACAATATAATATGACAATATATATATGACAGTATATGACAAGATTTGACAAGATTTGACAAGATTTGACAATATATGAAAATATGCGACAATATATGGCAGTATACGACAAGATTGACAAAATGTGACAAACTGTGGAAAAATGGGCACTCACAGTTCCTGCCCCTTTTACAGGAATTTCATCAGTCTATAACTCAATTAATGACCAAAATTCTTTTGGGAATTTACTGTAAATTTTGCTAATTTTTTGAATTACTACAAAATTGTTATTTTCAAATTTCATGGCTATCAGCCATTATTTAAAAAAGCATATCACGAATACTTATATTTCTATTGTTTCAATGTGAACAGTAATGGATTACATAAAAATTGTGGTTTTTTAAATTATTTTTTAAACAGTTAAATTAAGTTATTCAGTTAAAATTTTCAATTTAGTTATTAATTGAAACAATTTGTAATATCATAATCTTTATTCAGTTAAATTTAATTTTGTACTAATTCCAGGCTTGTTTCATTTGATAGCTCCTGACAATTCAATGTTGAAATTCGATAGTTAATGAATTATTTTTTTGGTTATCTTTAAATGAACTATTTTGTTATTTTGCAATTAGCTGGAGCATGAGTTCAATATTATTGGTAATATTGTACTTCGTGAGTTATTCGTATTTCGTATCAATTTATATTTATCAATCTAATCGCTATAATTCGATTCAGTATGTCCCAAGGAAAGTTATCCTTCAAAACCACTAAGCAGAGCAGACGGGGACCGATAAAGAATTTAGATGCTGGGGGCTTAACTAATGTAAGTATATTTGAGCATAAGCAGAATCAATAGTCCTTCATTAATCCCAATTGAGATCGAATGAAAAATTACACAACCCAGTTAGCTAATCTTGCTGATGATTCGTAACGAGCTATTAGTCGATAATATACATTATACATACATTATACATTATACATTGCAGCTAAGTTATTAAGTAGTTAGGTCTCATACAATCTTGTAGAATAATTATGTGCTCGTTGTTTCAGGAGACAGTAAAGAATTTAAGATCTACAGACGTACAGTCTCCTGGTAAGATATTGCATTTTGAGACCTTTCAGTGCTGTAATAACCATATTTACTGCTTTATGATATCATGTACATGGGAATAGTGGGAGTTTCATCGACTAATAAAATTCCAGAAACACTGTCACGTGTGACACAATCCTGCTCTATTCTCTCAGGTAGCAAGAGGAAGTATGCATCCTCCCCCGAGAGTTCATCTCCAGTGGCAAAGCCTCCTAAAACAGGTCACACACGTGTGAAGCGCGAACAGAAGCGTGTTAGACACACTCGCTCCTCCCACACTGCCTGCAAAACTCTCTTTGATTATGTGGCATCAGGTGTGTTAACTGTAAATATAATGCGGCTATTTTCACAACGATATAAGTGTTTTCACATTAACAATGCCTGAAACGTTCTAAAGGAGGTCTTTACCGTAGTCCGTACATTTTTAAACCATATCTAAACTTTGCTTTTAATGATCTATTACGTCTTTACAGATAAAACTGAGAGTACAGAAAAAAAGCAGGAAGCAGATGACGTCCCTGAATCTGAATCAGGTGGCACAGAATCCCATCTGGCGGCACCCAACTCAGAAGAAACAATACCTGCTGAACTGGAACCAACTGTAGAACCTGTCCAGGAAGAAGAGACTGAGAATACCAGTGAGGAGGTCACTCCATCAGTATCTCCTGAACCTGTCGTATGTGAGGACAAGTCGACTCAAAACGACCCTCTCTTTTCCGCCAAGGTTAGCTCCAGTTGGTTTTCGATCGCCAACTCGTTCACTCTCTTAAATTTGTCTGATTTATTTTCACTTCATCGTCTTATGACACCAGCAATTTTATTATATTAAAATGCTCATTTTCAGTCCTTCCTTAAGAAGATGACTGTACCGAGAGAGGAGCCAGCTGAAGTCAAGTGGGTTTTAACCGCGTTATAGTTGGTTTAATAACTAGCTCAGACTAGAGTCATTGGCTGCCTTCAGAATAATGCTATCTTTCAATATTGTACAGAATTTCGTGTACCTTTGACACTTACTTTGATACAGCTTTAAACATTGTCAACTCTTCTTTTATTTATTTTCCTAACTTTTAAATTTTTTACTAAGGGTAGCTTACAAGACAAACGGTGGCAAAATGCTTGCAGCAGCTCTGGCCAAAAAGAAGTAAGCATTTTAGAGATTATATTCTTGCAGTTAGTAACTAAGAAATAGCCAACATCTTTTCTTCCGTTTGTTATGTCGTAATTTACCACCACTTTTAAAACTAGTCACCTTCACTAATTACTACTTATCTTAGTATAATAAGCTGGCCACGATAAAACAGGATATCTTGATAAACCGGCTGTAATCTGCAGAGCAGGCGTTCCAGCCCACAAGAACGATGTGATAAGAGCTCTTGCAGCTAGAAAGGAGCTGTGTGTCCGTACACCCTCCCTCCCCTCCACCTGCTCTACTGAACCAACCTCGTCACGTGTTGTTGGAGAGAAGTCACGTGACACTACTGAGAAGTTGATGAAGGTAACAGAGAAGTTGAGAGCGCGAGACAGATTCGCTCACCTGATAAAGCCAGCCTCGCCAAAGATAAAACCATTCAAATCTATCTCCATCAGCTCTCCTACCAAATCTCCCCTCAAGTGGGTCTCGTCTTTTTAACAATTTTTATGATTTAAGAAAATAAAACGTAACCAGTTAAGTAGACTTGGAAATTTATTCTGATAACCAAAATTAACGACTGTTAATTCTTTAATCTTCACATCTGCTGCAGGGATGTGAAGGAGCTGATTCTACCAGAGATGTACAAACGTCTGCAAGACAAGTTCAACACTTCAGATCAAGTTGTAAACTTGCTGGCTCGGCGCCAGGAAACTTGTACATTCCAGAAACTCCAAAGAAATGTCCAGGAAATTTGCCGCAAGTCAGTTCCTTTCATTTTAAAAACTATTAATTTAACATTTAAATGTTTATTAAGTTGACTTTGACTTATTCAAAATAGTAAAAAATGTGTAGAATTTGTGGGAAGATAGAGCTGGTTAGTGTAATGTGATTGCAGGCGGTTCACAGAAGGAGATCTGAGCACAGCAGTAGGAGTGTACACGGAAGCTTATATCCTAGCCCAATGTAAAGGCCTCTCCCAGATAAAGAACGACAGGACTGTTAGAAACGAGTACCAGCTCACTATCGCATTCAACTACCAGGAGACAGAGCACATCAAGAAGTGAGATACCAACTCTTGTTATAAATCAGATAATATCTACAGGCTTTTCTAGATTAAATTCCCTAAGATAAGACTATTAAGTATTAGGTCCCTACCATTTACGTTGATAAAGACTAAAGAGTTGCGTTATTTTGCAGAGCACAAACTACTAACATATTTGGGTTACACCCAACTATGGATACGAAAAGAGTAATTCAGTTCGAAGATGAGCAGGGTGATAGCAACAAACTGTCCGAAAATGAGAAGATTTCACTTTCTTTACAGAAGGAGAAACACGCCTTTAACCAGGTATTTCACTTTCTTGACAGAAAGAGAAACACGCCTTTAACCAGGTATTTCACTTTCTTAACAGAAAGAGAAACACGCCTTTAACCAGGTATTTCACTTTCTTAACAGAAAGAGAAATACGCCTTTAACCAGGTATTTCACTTTCTTAACAGAAAGAGAAACACGCCTTTAACCAGGTATTTCACTTTCTTAACAGAAAGAGAAACACGCCTTTAACCAGGTATTTCACTTTCTTAACAGAAAGAGAAACACGCCTTTAACCAGGTATTTCACTTTCTTTACAGAAAGAGAAACACGCCTTTAACCAGGTATTTCACTTTCTTAACAGAAAGAGAAACACGCCTTTAACCAGGTATTTCACTTTCTTTAACAGAAAGAGAAACACTCCTTTAACCAGGTATTTCACTTTCTTTACAGAAAGAGAAACACGCCTTTAACCAGGTATTTCACTTTCTTAACAGAAAGAGAAACACGCCTTTAACCAGGTATTTCACTTTCTTTAACAGAAAGAGAAACACGCCTTTTACCAGGTTTCTAACCCGAGCTATAAATGAACGACTCTAAGTTTCAGCTTACACTATCTTGTCTTTAATGTCTATTCTCCCTCAACCTATATCCCATGTCCACTAGTTGTTAACAAGTCCTTTTCACAGCGGGGTCTGGTAAGCGCTGAGCTGTTAGAGAGAAGTAAACGTTTCCAGAAGAGACTGCTCAAGTTTGTCCACTCTGCACACCAACTCTTCTTATCTACTCTCGTACCTACTATCAAGATAGATCCAGCCAAACTTACCAGGTTAATAATAATTACAGGGTTCTCTTACGTAGCGACTAGATTTTAGCAAGTTTTATATTATCAAACTGAATAATGACCAACTGATGATTTAAATATTCATCCTTCAGCACAGAGAAAAGCTCCTTTTTTTTATACATTATGATTACAGAGGATCTGATATTTAGATATATATTGCTGTGCTGTAAAAATTGACTTTATTTATTTATTTTATTTATTTAAATATTCATCAACATGCACTCATAAAGCTAAGTGTGTGTCCATTTTAACTGACCCCTAAACCTCCAATATATCAGGTGGCACCCGGAGTTTGATCTGAACGGATTGGAGCTACCTCCCCCTGCGGACCTCCCTAAACCTCCTGTGTCCAGTAGACTGCTATCTGCTAATGAAATGTTACAACAGATCGACAGTAACAAGGCTCTACCTCCTCCAGGGGTAATTATTAACTACCTAATTGAGTAATTATGCAATAAACTAAGTTATTGAGTAATTATCCAATTAAGGGGGCAGGGGGGTCTTTATGAAATTTCTCTCGAAATTGATTTTATAGTTGTTTCTGATAGAGAGGAGTGATATCTATCTATCTGCTGCTTTTAGTTCCATGGAAAAATATTGTTCGAGAGAATTTTCATAAAGACCCCCCCCCCCTGCCCCCTTAACTAGCTAATCATATGAGATTGGAGCCTGTGTTGCAGTGTTTTTTGTTAATCTTATATGCATTTGTACTTGTGACTGTGTAAAAATACAAAGACAAATTCTTCGAACCAGTAGCGTGGTGGTAGCAAGTCATACCAAAAAGAATTATTTCAATTGCGCACTCAGTGATTGAGCTATTAAGGCCAACGTATGGGTACTGACTTTTGGCCCCCCCCTGTATAATATAATATTTTTTGTATAATACAACTATTAACTATTAAACTTCATTGACCAAAGTCAGTTCATTTAACGAGGTCTTGTGTTGAGATCCAGCAAGTCAGCCACATACCCACCTTTTACACTTGCTATCCTTCTCCCTCACGTCTCCTTTCTTCACTCCCTTCTTTAAAATGTCATCCCAACTGAGGACCACCTCGTACGCAAGTGCACGGGACAGATCTTTGCAGCGTCCGTTGTAGTACATCTTGGTCACTTCCCCCAGCGTCAGTTTTTTCTTGAACACGTTCAGCTGGTACATGTCGCCTGCAACAGTTTATATCAAAATATGAAAAATTAATTTTGAATAATAAATTGATAAAATCGATGGATGTAATGAAGAAAAACAGAAATAATTTATATTGTATTAAAAAAAGCTAATCCTAGATCCTGATTACCTGCAAACACATCGTTTATATCAAAAGCTCCTCCCGGAGTGTCTTGTTCTTGTCCTAAGACCAAAGTACCGCCTAGTGGTATCTGCCCCGTAGGGTGGGCTCCACTCATGTAAACCCACTCTCCGTTCATGTAGAAGTCTGCTCTTCCAGATTTCCAGGCGAAGCAGAGGTGGTACCATTCGTCCCGCATTATTGTAGTGTCGTACTTCAATTTAAACGCCTTGACATTAGTGGTGATGTAGTGATCACCAGCTGCCTTGAGAAGGATGGAGTTGTCTTTACCTGTCACTGCGTAGGAACCCCGGTTCTGCTCTGATCAAGCCTTTTCTTGAGCCAAGAACAGACAGAAAACTCCTGTTGTGCAGCACTCAGATCAGGTTGTAGGATCACGTAGTTACTTGTGGACAACTCCTCTGGGAACCGGAGTAGTTTGTCTCGAGAACCTGCAACGCAGAGTGCGGCCAGGGCACAGAGCAAGAGGGAACGTAAGTCGCATCGTGAGAACTGGAATAAGCTAGTGGGACGCAGAGGGGATTAGTTTTCTGCAGTGCTCTCTGCATTCTGATCAAAAGTGGGAACTTTTGGTATTTTTTGGAGTCATTACAACATCCGATTGTTTAAAAATTGCGTTTCATAATATAAAATGCTCTAAATTCAATTTGCGATAAGATTGGTGTTTTAATCATAATATCACAATAACATTGAAATGGATTCTTGGTGCACCAGAAACAGGGGTGTAGGACTGTTAAAATCAGTCGCATACTAATTTTCCCTGCCTACACCCGTTAGCATTTCTATACGAAAAACTTACTAATCGTACTGATCAACTCTCAAAGTCAAGGTGTACTCAAAACGTGGAAAATCGAAAATAAGTTCAAAGTTTAGTAATAAATTGGAAATGATTATGGCTTTTGAATTCATTATGCAGATAATCTAGATGTAGATTATAACAAATATGCCAACATATTTTATTGAAAGAGTTCTTTAAATGTGAAATCGTTAAATTTAATTAACTCAAATACACTTTTTCCCACTACGCAAACTTTTAGCTATCTATTTGCCATTGTGATTTACCAGTGCAGTACCACCTGAATGACAACTGTTTTACATTTATACAAAAAAACTACGAAAATTTCCCACAATTTAGATTCTAAAGTAAAATACAACTATTAACTATGTATAATAGCTGTAATTAAGAAGGGGGGGGGGGGGGGGGGGGGGGTCCAAGGGGAACTTTGGGGAACTTTGGGAAAGTCCCCCAAGATTTCTGAAGTTCCCCAAAAAAAAGTTCCCCAAAACTCCCCAAAGTTCCCCAAAATTCCCCAAAATTATTCAAAATTATTCAAAATTATTCAAAATTATTCAAAATTATTCAAAATTATTCAAAATTATTCAAAATTATTCAATATTATTCAAAATTTCTCTAATATACATTAATACCCATTAATGTTAACATGTATGTTATTATAAGGTATAATCTTAACTTACTTGTTGATACTTGCAGCATGATAATTTTTTTGGCAAGATAATTTTTTTGGGGAACTTTGGGGAACTTTGGGGAATTTTGGGGAACTTTCTGAAGTTCCCCAAAAAAAAGTTCCCCAAAATTCCCCAAAATTATTTGTTTCATTGATAATTTTTTGGGGAACTTTGGGAAAGTCCCCCAGGTTTCCTGAAGTTCCCCAAAACTCCCCAAAGTTCCCCTTGGACCCCCCCCCCCCTAAGAACTGTCTCATGATTTCAGATGCAGGATGCTGTAGATAAGAACCTACAAAAGGTGTTATCAGAGAAGAAACAGCTGGACAAGAAGAAGGAGGAGCAGCTGAAGGGTATAAACCCGGCCTTAGTTGCTAGGATCAGGGCCAAGGAAGCTAAGAGAATAGCTCAACAGATGACACGTGATCCTCAAACAGATAAAGAGGTCAGTACTCAGCTGGGAATACAATTTGATTTTTATTATTTTACAATCATATAATCGACCTCTGACTGAAACTTTATTATCACAATTGGATTATATGTCTCAAAAGATGTTGCATCGTTTAATTTTCCTAACACTGATACCCCACCAGTTAGCGATGGTAGAGCGACTGGAGCCGATAATCCGTTGTCTGAGAGTGTTGTATGTTAGTGCAGGTAAAGGGTCCCTGTTGCTGTCAGATGTTACACTGGATATTGCTAGTAACCCCAGCATGACCATGTCTCAGCCAGCCGTGGAGGAGCATGTCAGACTCCTTATCAAGGTAATGTTCTGGGGAGCAATGGAGGAACAATGTAATCCTTAAAATGCAAATGGTACAATGTAGTACAGTTTTATCCGATGTACTGTATTAATAATTAGTGTATACTGTATAATGTATATTATACTAATATGTTGTCTATTATAATACTATGCAGCAGGGATTTGGAAATTTTACACTATCACATCAACACCCTTACCAGCTCACTTGTAATATTGCACCGCTGCCCCACCTAAATTAGCACTTCCCAATTTCAGATCTGCCCAACTTGGCTGAGTATGGCTAGCTTGAGGAAGAAGGAGTACCTGAAACTTAACCGAAACATTGACACCAACATTGTTCTCGACGCTGTGAAGAATAAACACAACCAACTTATGTCTTGAAGTGAAACAACTGCTACTAACTAGACTGTGTCAACGTAAATTGTCAATTATTATTTAATTTGAACTTTTTTGTTTTAACCAATCTGTTTAAACTCTGGGATATTCAATATTTTAATAGATCTTAACGATTATGATATGATAGCTACTATTAGTCAACTAATTTATCCTTATTTATGCAACAAAACTTTATCATATTACTTGTTATCTCTTTAACTTATAAAATGTGAGCTTGAGGAGGTCGTATAATTTTAAACTTATCTGATATTTTGTAAATTTATTTAGTTTTATCCACCAATACAGTTCTCTTTACTGCTTACTATTACAAACCTGTGTCGGTCTAGGAAAGTTGATTCAATTTGAAAATGTACTACATCGGTAGTGTATTTTGGTGATTTTCCATTTTACGTAGCCTTCGTCGCGTCGGGACTTCCAGTACCTTAATTGGTTCTCGTGCCATCCATAGTTAAATGACTAATTGGTCACTGGACAAAAATACCGTCAAATCTGTGAAATTTCTCTTCTATTCAGGAAATATCATGTTTGAAAATGGGACTGACATGGGAAAATATTATTTTTCATATTTTGTAACGCTTACACACCTTTAGTAGTATATTATACAGCTTCGGCCAGGCTTAGAAACTAAGATCATGTTCAGCTCAGAATTAGCTGTACCAGGACATTTCTGGAGAAACAAGCTACCCATTCACAAGAAGCAGCAACCATAATTTGAAACCTGCCTAATACCTATAATAAAGTTTACTTATTGTTTCAATCCAGATTCTGGAAATCTATGTCAGATAACTCACATGTCTTATTATAGGTAAAGTTTACAGTTGCAGATAACACTATGGGTTCATCAGATTATGACGAGCACACAGCCAAGCGACAGTGTCTATCATCAGTAGAGTCAGAAGTTTACCACCACCCCCTGTTTAATGAAGTTGACACTACTGCTGAGAACGAGGAACTTGTAACTTTACATGTCCTGAATGATGATACGCTAGATATGATACTGTCCTATCTCCATGTTGTGGAACTTTTTAGGCTGAGTTTGGTTTGCCGCAGATGGTATAATCTGTGCTTGCAGAAGATTTCTCGGATTTCATGTTTTTCTGTTTTTTGCAACCTAAAATATATAAAGGGAAGTATAGTCAGGAATAACCAGATCTATTATAAAGTGAATTCGTTGCTTAAAGCGCATCAAATGGATAACGTTGTGTCAGCTTTATCGCTAAACTGTGGAAGCTTGACTACTTTGTCGTTGTACCGTGTGGTTGGTATCAAAGCAGATCACTTATCATATTTGAGCGACAAACTTCCTAATTTGATGAATTTGAAGCTTGCCGAAAAATTACTATCAGATATGACTATTTTGGCAGTCATACGAGACAAATTAGCGCCAAGATTTTTTTTTTTTTTTTTTTATGTTGGGGCACCCACTTTACCTCCCTATTGGGAGGCTACGTCCGTCAATTAGTGACTAACGTCTATTGGGGTTCCTCTGGTTGTAGGTGTCAGTAGGTTTGGGTCACTTGGCATGGGCTAGTGATCCCGCCCCTCCAGAGGATAAAGCCTGGTGAGCGACGTTTCCCGTAAGGGAAACTGTCATAATGCTCGTTCACGGGAGAACACCACCCATGCCTGGATGTTCTCCCGGGTACTCGATAGAACAGGCTGCCCCCTGTCATTCTAGTGGGCTGACAGGAACCTACCAGGCATGCCTGAGCCTATGATGTAATTCTCCCATATCTTTGTTGTTTTTGTGTTAAATCTTTGTCTTTGCGCGGCTCAATTTCCGCGCTATACTAAATAAAAGTGCTGAATCACGAATTTACATGCGATATTTGAATTTTGAGTAGACCCTTTTTTGTCGCAATTTGGCAATTTCTTTGTTCACGTAATTATTGCTAATTTTACGTTTGCTGGTAATAATCTAAGTGCTATATCTCCAATAGCTGGCAGTTTGTCTGATTGTTAGATCCCCTCTAACTGGTAGCGGCCCTAAGGCGGCATGTGAGTGAATGAGTGAGTAAAAGTGAGGTGTAGGAGAAGTGGGGAAGAAAACATGAATATGAAAGTATGGTACACTGTTGCCAGCTGACTCACCAGCAACAATGTAAGTCCAAGAAGAAAGAAGGAGAGACACTGTCCGTTATCTGGGTGTGCCACCACCGACAGTGCTCCCACTTCTGTGGGGCCGAGGGTGTTGGCTCCAAGAACCAGCCGTGAGCGAACAGCGCCTGACCCCCTCTATGGTTAACTTTAGAATAACAGGACTATGCTTTTCTCCAGGCCAATCCGTTCAGTAACCAGCTGACCCCGCACCACCTCTGATGGAAGATGTGGTTCGGATTGGACTTCGCTAGGATTTGTCAGTTTTTCTGTAGACACTAATGCTCCCTCGAGGAAAGACATGAGCCCCGGCGAAGCTGACCAAAAACGTGGCAAGGATTCTCACCCTACCAAGCGCCAAGATTGGCAAGTTTATTTATAATTCTGAATGGAGCTGGATTAGATTGTCAAGATAACAAAACAGCGATGAACAATTTGCTGATGAACACAAAACAGTTAGCTCACCTTTCTATACACCAGAACTTGGGGCCTAATTCTCCAAATTTCAATTGGCCAACAATACTTCCAGATAAGCTTTCCTTAGCTAATCCTTTAAAATCAGTTGAGATTACAAATACTACAAAGCTGGATACATCTGTCGTACAGTTCATTATGAGAAACTTTGCTTCAACTCTGGAGTACTTGAACTTATCAGGAACTTACCCAGTGAGTGACAATGTCGTGACAATGGATTATAGCGGCCTACCAGAGCTGCATAATATGAAAGTTTTTCTTTCTTACAATAACTTGAAACGTGTAACTTCAGAAAGAAATGTTTCACATTCTGCTTTTATGATTTCGATTTTGAAGCTAATGCCCAATGTTAAAGTACTTGATTTATCTGGGAATTACCACTTTTCTGAAAATGACTTTGACATTGTGGATATTTTATCACGTCACTGTTTGTTGCTTGAGGAGTTGCATTTATCTAACTGCTGGATCCCGGCGGAAAAATTGGAGAATCTTAAAAAACTGAAGTGTCTCAAAAGACTTTGCTTAGATGGACTTCCGAAAGACTGGGAGAACGATCAATGTAGGGAGTATAATGCACGAAGACTTATGAAGATATTTCCAGAACATGACCCAGCTTTGAGCTTCCGATGTGTTGCATCCAACCTGCTACCACATTTGGAAGCATTGGAATATTTATCAATGTTTAATGTTAATTTCGATAAAGACGATCTTGCTCTGTTTATTGGTAATGCTGGACCCAACTTCAAAACCTTAGTTATGTCAGCATCACTTAGGACAGCAAATAACGGATATGAGGACAATCCGTTTGAAGAAGCTCTTAAGGAGTGCAATTCGGTGCTGAGGGCAGGTCCCTTGACGTTAATAATCATGCTCAAGGGTTTTCACTCATTACATAAGAAATGTCTTCCACTTTATAAAATAATTTCTCCAAACTATCTTCAGGTAGTGGGTTCAGACGTTTATTATCATTATAAAAGGCATTTAGTAAGTAACCATTTTTTTCAAGAAAGTAACCATTTTGTCTCTGTAAATGGCCGTCTTTCTCGAAGTTATGGCAAAAAAATCGAATTTCCATTTTTTGATGTTTTAGGGGTCGATGACATATTACGTAATCATTTTTTGGGGCACCACTGTAAATAAGTACCTTCTCATCCTCCCTCCTTACGTTAGAATTTGAACGCCAGGTTAAATTTTAGGAAAAAGTTCAAGTGAAAAGATTAACCTGAAGGAAATTTAACTTGTATTGAGAGAGGTTAATTCAACCTGTTTGGAAGTCCCAGAGAGCAATACAATTGATCATTTTGCTCCAAATTATCTGCCAGCAGCCAGCATTCCTTTAATTTTGGTGATCATCTCAAGAGCCTTCAGACTCCCATATCTAATTATTTTCAAAGCGATTCTAAACTGCATCAAACTTGCCTGTGGCGTCTCTAGAAGGGTATTTTAGCATGATTTTAGGGCACCATAACTCAAAAAATCTCCGCCTCTGGCGATTTTGCCCCTCTGCCCTTGCGGTCTCCGGGTGATTGTGATTTGGATGGACACCTTGCCCTTTTGCTCCGGACATACGACATGGACAGGGGCCCTGATTATCTTGTCACAGCAAGCGGGCAGCAAGCACATGAAGAAACCCCCGGCCCCAGAGAATTAATAATATGTAACTTAAACTGATGTGTTAAGGTGCCACTTTTTGAACTTATTTTGACCTTTGTTTTGGACAATCTCTCCCCCCTCCGTAATCAGATTGACCCATAGCTATTGTGTCAAATTACACTAGCGTAAGCATTTGGAACCCCTCCCCCTTCCCCCCTTCCCCCCCCCCCCCCCCCCCTCGACTGATTACGTAATATGTGAACGACCGGTTATAATTTTAAACTATGAAAGGAAAAGGAAATACTCTCAGAAAGAGGGCACTGTTTAACGATTGGTTAAACCTTCATCCATAACGGTACCCTTAAATCAAAATCTGGGTCACCGTTTTTAATTACCTTCCTAGTTCATTACATTAGACTTAAAATATTTAATTAATTAATCTCTCATCTGTATTTTAGGGAAACCGTTAATAATGGTATTTTTGCATATTATGGTGTTTAAAAATCAAAACTCATTTTCATTTCGAACAATTTCGCAATTATCACTTTATTTTGCCCTCAACAAAGTTAAAACAACGATGATAATTCTTAATAAAAATAATAAATAACGGCTTACCGCTGAAAAATGAGTTCTTGAAACAATTGGAGATTTGAAAATGAGATGTTTATATTGGCAGCATTCCAGGATGCGAGAAAAAATCCCTCACTATGTGGGATTTAACAAACAACAAATAACTGCAGAGTGCACTGTGATCATGACAAAGGTTAGTTCTATTTATTTCAGGATAATTTAGTAGTGGAACAGCAATACAAAGGTAATGGGACTACTGCGGACCCTCTACCGGCCAAACCTTGTTAACAAAGCCGCAGTCAAGGTTCGGTGAACGGTAGTTAAAAGCGCTTAAGGGACATAAGTCGAATTGGTAGAGCAACATCATGTAGTGGATGTCTTAAGAAATTTTTTTGATAAAAAAAACAAATAGAATAATATATAACAATATAATTTACAACAATGTATATCGACCAGATTTGAATCAACAATTAATTGAGTCCATAGGACTCATAATTAGCTAAGCTTTGATACAAAGCATGCGAACTCAAAGTCGCTTTCACAACT